GGTAAGATACCATTCATACTTACTTGAAGAATTGTTCAATTTTAGTGGGCTCTCTGACCCAATTTTCTAAATTTAATGGGTTAGTTTGCATGTTTATTGACTAGATGCTAGCATTTCTGGTTGATGAAGCTTGGAAACCATGATTTGAGAACCCTCTTAATAGGTCTGGGCTGGAGGGGCAGTGACAAGTGATACGGCAGGCCAACAAAACAAAACCAACATTGAATATGTGATGTTGTCAATGCAAAGACAATTCATAAAAATTTAGCCCAAAGAGAGCAAGATCACTTTTTACTCTCTAAGGTTTATAGCAGCATGTCAGCATTCCATCTACAGTTGAGATGTTGATTCCTGCTTGTATTGCACATTGCTGAAAAGGGCTTCTTGAGGCTGGAGGGAGCAGTGAGGTAAGACTATCCTCCTTGAGAGCTGGCTCGTCTTAATGCTTGTTCCATTTGTCTCTGTGTATGTCTGCAGTGTCTGTTCTGCTCCTGGTAATTTAAGGAGAGGGCACTCTTTGAAAAGAATTTAGGAATCTAGGGCTATATAATCATCGTATTCTATGATTGAGCTTTACATAAGGCCCCAGCAACTCTTGTCACATGTTCAGCTTAGGCAGAGCCCACCAGCCATCTGTGGGCCAGGTAAAACAACCAAGGTCAAATTGCTTCTCCTGTTATTGATTAAATGTATGCTGTATGACACTGTGTTGCCCAGCCCACAGCAAGCCATTTAGCCTTACTCATGAAGACATTAATAGACACTAGTTTCCATTAGTTTTCCAATGTTTTTCTCAGTATTCTCTTCAAAGTTGTCTTTCTTCTCAGAAACCTTCTTGGTTGTGAGCCACAGCTTGGTTATCACTTCCTTTCTCAAGATCTTCACCTCTTGCTTTATTGAAGGTCTCTACTGTATGGATGACAGCCCAGTTCTTCTCTTTTGTACCTGGAAGTGAAAATGCTACACGATTCTTTCCATTCTTTATTGTCTTGGGTAGAAGAAGCTTCAGATGCTCATTCTTATGTGGTTTTGTAAAATGCCATAATTCATTGGTTTTTAAAAATTTTTTGTTTAATTTTCTAATGGCTAGGGGAGGTATTTTATCTAACTAATTAGGTCTTCCTGTTAAACTGATCAGACCTCCCTGTTCGTTAGATTTTTAAACAGTCCTTAAATGTTAAGGGTTAAAACACTGTATTTCACCCGCCTCTACCCACCCCAGGCCTACTCTAGATTAAAATGCGGATAGAAAGCAGAGGTTTATTTGAAGTCTGATGTTTTAACTAGTGACAGGGAGGCAGGAGGCTGGTGACTTGCCACATAGATTACAGATGAAGTCCTACGACTTTGAAACATGTGTCTGTCTAATTGGCCGTTGGTTTTTCATTTCATTCATGTCCAATGGGAGACAAGTCAACAGGTAATTTATCCTAAGGTATGATTCGAGAAGGTCTTTGAGAGGAAATATGAGATGGTGTGGGAGCATTCTGTGGGGACACTGAACTTGACCTTAGGGCTGAGATTGGCCAGTGGAAGCTTCCACAAGGAAATAGTATCTCATCTGAATGATGGGTAGTTGTTGGAAGGAGGGGAGGAAGAGTATTTTAGGTAGGCGAGATAGAGTACGGCATGTCTGAAGAACAAAAATGTATGTGGACAGGTCAGCATGAAAGATGGCAGAGTGACCATAGGTCTATTAAAGCAATAGAAATGACCAGATTCCCCAGGAAGAATGTGTAGAATAAGAAGAAAAGAAAGCTTTTGGCAGAAGAGATTATGTGGATCTTTCAATTTACAGCATTTTTTCCTCAGAAATACAGTGGAATGATATTTATTTTGTGCAGTCAGGTTGAGTAGCTTTTTTGTAGGTTCACCGGGAAACTTTTGCCTTTTCATTTAGGACTAAAATGTGCCTTGAGATGCCACCAGCAATGCCAGGAGCATATTTCACCTTTCCAAGCTGACAAGGGTTGGAGTAAAGCTTCCTCACTACTTCCAATAATAGTTATACGCTATAGGGTTGCTTTTCCTAAGGTTACATTTGAGTAACTTAATTTTTATCCAGCCAACGCTAGAAATAAAAAATCATAAATTTAATTTTCAAAGAAGTAGAATCTTGTTTTAAGATGAGCAAGCTTTATACTTTCCTAAAGCTCAGTGTTAAGGTTTTGAGTATGTGTATGTGTACTCATCTCAATTACATTTTAAATGATTGGTACCCCAAACTTGCTATTTGGACTGTATTTTTCTAAATACATGATGCTGTGATTTAAAAATGTTCTTCCTAATATAACTTAAAGGGCTTAGTAAATAACTGCTCCTAAACTGCCCCCTTTCTGATTAATGAGGCATAAACCTCTATTTCCTGCAATAACAAGAAAGACAAATTGATTTTTTGGGTAGTTTGACAAAGACAGAATTAACAGATTCATGATGTGGGTTGCATTGCAACTTAAAGTGAATTTTGCTACGTGACTGTAATTGTCTGAAAAGTCAAGTTCAAGGATTTGGTTTTACATAACTTTAACAGTAAATATTTTACTCAAATTGAGAAAATTCCTGGGCATTTCAGGTTGTAGGGGGATTGGGCTTTCATGAAGTCTGCATGCTCAACCTTTGGGTTTCAGATTCTAAATATTTTCTAGAACAAGTGATCTATTAGAAACACCAGAAAAACCTGGCTGGCTAGGAACAATGGTAAACTTTACAGGGTTTCTTTAGATAAATCTTCTTGAAGAGAATACTTGAGTGTCAAGGAATATGCCCAGACTTTTCCTGTTTAAAGCATTAATTATGAAGTCAGTTTGACTGTGATTCAGTTTCAGCTACCTTTATTTAGATCTTTATGTCAGTAAATAATTGCACGTCTCAAGCTGACTAATGTCAACAAGAAAGAGTCAAACTCTATAGAATCCTTGAAGAAATATTCTGGGTCCTAGGCCCAAGGCACAGTCTCAAGAACATATTCCCAAAGTGGTTGGGTTATACCTTGATTTTTATGCATTTTAGAAGGACGGAAATTATAGATAGACATCAGTCAATACATGTAAGGTATACATTCGTTTGGTCCTGAAGGCCTGGATAGTTTGAAAGGGTTGGAGGGGGGCTTCTGGTTCAGAGGTGGATTCAAAGATTTCCTGAGGTAGTAGATTGAAAGGATTAAGCTCTCCCTGAAGAGCTGAAGTCGGTACCTTTTACCAGATCCTAAAAGGTGCCAGACTCTTAGTTAAATTTCTCCTAGATCAGGAAAAAAAACTAGAAAGGGAAGGAGATTCTCTACAGAATGTAGATTTTCCCCAAAAATGACCATTTTGCAGGACCATTTCAAAATATTAATATTTCATAGAAATATATTTTGGGATAAAATGGTTGGATTTCTTTCAGGGCCTGCTGTCATGTGATTCTATACTTGAGTCCAGTTGGAATTTGGTATTTTATTGCTACAAATAATCTGCTTTGTCAGTTTTAGATCTCTGTTTTAATGTTAGTGCTGGTCAGTTGTGCCTGAATTCCAAAGGGAGGAGAGTATAATGAGGCACGTCTAACCTCCTCCTTCCCATGACAGCCTACACTAGTTTTTCAAATTTACTTTGGAATGCCCTGGCTGAGACAGGGGTCCTCTCAGTTGGTTGACATTCATGGCCCCGAATAAATCAGTTTATTCCTGCAGGTAAAAGTCTTCCTATTTTGATTTAGTTTTTGTTGAGACCTCTTCCCCCACCATCAATATTAATGGAATACTTAATTTTATTGGCAGTACAAGAGTGCTGGGAGGGAAAGGATAAGGAATGAGGCTGTAACCAGATTTGATAGTGATCATATCAATTTTATTTATATTTCAACTCTTACTATTCCCTGTTGTCTCCTTTCTTCCCTTGCTAAATAACCTATATTCCTCAATATTTCTTCTCTTTTCTGACAGTCCATAGAGAATAGAGTAGAGAGATAGATGGCATTTCCCCCAATTGACAGGTAAAGTGAATAACAAATGTATATTCAAGGCACTTAGTAAACAGTTCTCTCCATCCCTAACCATTCATCTGTTCTACTGGCTTACGTACTAAGAGCATACTCATACCAAAATGTCTTGAGGGAACCCAAAGGGAGGGCATAGGACTAAATTCCTTTGTCTATTTGTATCCCTCCTGTGATTTACTGACATGTTTTTCAGAAAGAACCAAATACGTTTTGTGAAAACAAGTTTTAAATAAACTTTATAGTTTAACCTATATGTTGGAGGTATTTCCAGGGACACAACAATCTCCACCTGGGTTTTAAAAAGCTTTTGTCCCTTTTTGTTCAACTACTATCTGTTTTATTCCACTTGATTTCTGCTTAGAATGTTACCCTGGCAAATCTTGGAAAAAATACTGTTTAACATACCGCTTCAGGAGTGGCTAGTAGGTTCTTTTCTGTGCAATATAACTTTAAAGCTTAGCCTACGATTTTTTTTTTTTAATGACCAAAGTAACACTACAAAGCATTATGATTTGAGCTGCTTACTATACACTATTAGCTCTGACCTATCAGGTATATCTTAGTTTTTAAATTTGTTGTTTGACATTGTTTCAATGCCAGGTCCCATTTTTCACATCTTGACATTCTTCAAATCTTAGAGTTCATCAAAATCAGGTGTACCCTGTTCTTGCTGCAGTTCAAGGAGAGCTGCTTCATTAATAAAATTGGTGTAATTTAAAGTTAAAATATAAATTTAATTTTTAAAAGCCAAACTTAAAGCAGAGCTTTTTGTTTCTTGTCTTCTCTTAGTTTTGGCAGAACTCCCTCAAGTCCAATCATCTGATAATGTGAAGCCTAAGAATTGTAGGGTTAGGTTTTATTAACAAAGCCACATATCCTCCCTCTGCTCCTCAGTATTTTCCAACTTTGGGTTTAAGAAGTTGTACTGTTTTTTCAGTGTTGATTTCAGCACAGATGTTTATAGGCTGTCATTAGGTGTCTTTGTAAATGAATAAAATCGCATCTCTTTTCCTTTTATCTAGGCTGGACGTAAAGAAAGAAGTGATGCACTCAATTCTGCAATAGATAAAATGACCAAGAAGACCAGGGACTTGCGTAGACAGGTAATCTGGATGAAAGTGCTGATTGTTTTTCTGAGTTCTCAATTTTGTAGTTTTGATTAGGATCAGATAATCTTAATCAAAATAGTAAGCACTGAACTTATATACATTTTTTTATTGAGAGAAAGGATGGATTTTTCACAAGAAAATGCCTATCTTTGTTTTCTTGCTAATATGCTTCTTAATGGCTAATCACATTTCACAAAGACATGGAATAGTATAGTCTCATTGTATTGGACTGAATAAGTTAGCTCTAGTGTGAAAGAGATGTACAGGTAGGAAAATAAATTTAAAATGACTTGGAGACCTGTGAAAATAATCCTGAAGGATCTTGTTATATTGGCTATGTACAATACAGACAGAAATTTCAGTTATTTATTTGACTTGCCTTATTCTCATTACACACTTGTGGTTCCCTTAGATCCTTGGTGAAGTGTTTCTAGTTCCAAATATGGTAGGTATAGAGATATTTGAGGTGAAGAATTTTCTGAGTTACTAAATAGAAAGTTAAGAGAAATTGAGCCTTTTAATAATAAATAACTCCATTAACATTTTGGAGTCAAATTGAGTTTTAGTCTTTAAAGAACTTAGGGTTGAATTTATAAAACAATGTAGTAAGACTTAAGAAGTTGTAATATGGACAGTTTTTAAGAGTTAGTGGATAGATAGATGTTTTTTTATGTCTGATATAAAGCAAAATTAAAGATAGTATATATCTTTATTCAGTTTCCTTTTAGTGAAGCAGTATCAGAAATGGTTATAAAGAGAACGTTAAGTTTTAAGGTTCATAGTGTGTAAATCCTTTTAGATAAACCAGATAGCTCTTTTTTCTCTCTTCTCTTTTTATTTAGCCAATTAGGCTAATTATATATATTCCAAGGCTATGTGCCAATTCAACCCAGAGCTGCTTTCAGTTCAGCTTTTGTATTATTTAAGATGTAAGCCTTAGTTTTGTAATTCCCAAGAAAAAAGGATATTGTCTCAAAAACTGAGATTCTGTTGCTGAAATGCTGTAACTGTAGCAATGTAAACCATTGTCTCCATGATCATGTTTCCTGTGGTGCAGATTACATAACTGCATGGCTTATATGAGGGGTCCTCATGGAAGTGCAGCCAGTCTACCATAAGCTTCATTAGATTTAAGTGTACAAGAGAATAAAAAGCAATCTATTTAATACCTTTTTGGTGGAAATAAAATAAAATTTTTTACAATTTAATTATCAGCTCCGCAAAGCTGTCATGGACCATGTTTCAGATTCTTTTCTGGAAACCAATGTTCCACTTTTGGTATTGATTGAAGCTGCAAAGAATGGAAATGAGAAAGAAGTTAAGGAGTATGCCCAAGTTTTTCGTGAACATGCCAACAAGTTAATTGAGGTAAGTGAATTAGCAGTTTCATTGACTGTATGTAGGTAACTTGGTAAAGTGTGGTGAGTTTTAATCATGTTATTTAATTAGCCCTATTTAATTAGACTAGACTCAGAGCAGTCTTGTTGTAAAAGTGGAGAAACTGAGCCCTGACATGGGGCTAATCAGTTATATTTGCTTGGTAGAAATCTGTATGTAAGTGGTTGGTTTGTAGGGTGGCAAGAAGAGAGAGTGAATTGTGATGTAATTCCCAGGTAAGTTAGGCTTACTCCTCCTTTTCCTAACTGAAATTCTGTTGTTTAATTTATCCATTACTGCTGTATTTTGGAAATGGGATACAAAATAAGCATATATTCACGTTATTTGATTTTGTAATCTTAATGCAGAACATCTCATACTTGGTAAAGATATTCCATAGACCATTTGGTAACCTGGTTATTGTGTAAAACCAGAAAATGGGACTTTATGTAAAATGTGTGTCTGATACTTTTGGAATATTATAGTGATATTAGGCTATGTTTTGTTTCATTTTTGTTGGTTTGTTTGTTTTGAGACGCAGTCTGGCTCTGTTGCCCAGGCTGGAGTGCAGTGGCATGATCTCGGCTCACTGTAATCTCCGCCTCCCGGGTTCAAGTGATTCTCCTGCCTCAACTTCCTGAATAGCTGGTGCCCACCATCACGCTCATCTCTTTTTTAAGTAGAGACAGGGTTTCACCATGTTAGCCAGGCTGGTCTCAAACTCCTGACCTCAAATAATCTGCCTGCCTTGGCCTCCAAAAGCTTTAGGATTATAGATGTGAGCCACTGTGCCTGGCTAGGCCATGTTAATGCCATGAAAATATTCCAAGGAAAGCATCAGTAACCACATCGTGCATTACTAATTTTACATCGTTTTCTTTGAACATTAATTTAAGTGTTATTCTGTCCTGAATTCATTATGTACAGAATACATAGGTTAGTCTGCTATTCAAGTTAATGATTCTAGCATTTGGAACTAAAATTAGAAGACTTTCATTTTGTGTCTCCATTGAGCATAATCTTGTTCACAATAGTCACATGACAGCATGAGGTATAACCTCCAGATACACAAAGATTTCACTCAGGAAGCCAGTCTCCTGTAAGTAGCATATGTATTAGAAAGTTTGTCCACCTAGTAGGAAGCGAGGATGCTGCCAGCCCAAGGCCTTGGGTACCAGCACAGCGAAGGGCTCAGTGTGGCAGCTGAAGAGAGGGCAGTCCTTGTCTGTGCCGGAACACCCTTTATTAGGGCCAGCTGCATCATCCTCAGTCTCTCCAGCCTAAAAGAGCTGACACTTGCTTGGCACCTACAGTGTATCAGCAAGTACAGTGTACTTCCCACAGCATTTCTCAGGTAAGGAAACAGGCTTAGAGAGGTTAAGTTGCCTAAGTTCATCTGGCTTACATCCCTCCAATAATGAGCACCGTGCACTCAAGCTCACTGGCTTGATGAACAGCCTAACACCCACTGAAGCATTGAGTGGGCCGGGAGGTATTGGAGACCTTGCTCTAGGAGCTTTTTCCAAGCCTATATATTTTATTTCATTTAATTCTGAACACCACTAACAAAAGGCCCCCTAGAATTGAGAGTTTGGTGTTTTCCATCACAACTCAGTTTTGACCCCTTTCTAACCTTTCTTCTCTCCACACCCCCACACATATTAACTATGCATTAAATAACACATGGCTTTTCATTGCTTGAGGCATAACCGTAGGCCTTGTAGTCCTATTCTGCAAACAGTTAAATTACATTTACGGTAATAGAGACACTAGGATTATAATTGTATATGTCCATGAAAAGGAAATGAATTTTTAAAGTGTTGTAGAAGCCCCAAATTCCTGACTTATGGCAGAACTTATTCTTCAATGACAAGGCTTCTCCTCCCCTACCACATTTGTATTACACTGAAACACTTTGAACTAGTCAGAGACTTGTTTTAAGCAAAGGTGAAATATTTCATTGTGAGTGTTTTGTTAATTTCTTGACTGCTTTATTTCTTCTTCTTCTTCTCTCCTAACTGGATTAAATGTCTCTAGGCCAACTTTGGTTTTAAGGGCCATTTGCCATTTTCCCTGGGGTGTAAGGGAAGTAAGAGTGCTATATGAAAGCTGGGCAGGGCTGATGGCGATAAACCTCTGGCAAGAAAGGAGGGGTTCAGACACTGCAGCCACTGAGAAGTCTGCCAGATGTGTTTGGGTTGAGTGCTTCTCCTAAAATACTGTAGTACAGTTCTGATGCTAACCACCAGAAGTTAGTGCAGACCCCAGAGGTTAAGGGCATGGTCTCCAATAAGATTACCCTCACTTCACATGCCAGCTGCAAGTTCCAGGGTCCCCAGGCCACCTGTACTTCTGACCAGCTGTGTACAAATCTAAGGGGTTCCTATGACCCACCTCAGGTTCAGTAATTCAGTAGAACAACTCATCAAATATTTTATTAGAAAGGCTATTAATCAGGACCAGCCAAATGAAGAGACACATAGGATGGAGTCTGGGAAGATCTCAAATTCAGAGCTTCTATGCCCCTTCCCAGTGAAATTAAGGCACATCATCTTGTCACATTGATGTTTTTACCGACAGAAGTGCTGCTGAGTTTCAGTGTTCATAGTTTTTATTGGGGTTTTATTACGTAGGCATGATGATCGAATAATGATATGGTTGAACTCGATCTCCAGTCCCTTTCCCTCAAAGCCCCAGTCCTCTAATCACATAGTTAACCCCCTATCCCGACGAATCTCCTTGGCATAAACTATCAGGGGCTTGCCATGCATGAACAACAGACATTCTTCCATTACTACTGAAATTCCAAAGATTCAGAGGTTTCCTGATAGGAATCCAGGACAAAGAACAGACCAGACAAATTATATAATGCATAATACCTCTCATCTTAAAGGTATGTGGAACGCATGATTTTTACATAGCTTCACTACACTGGGAAGCTTAGCATGCTACAGAGTCTTAAACCACGTGGAAGAGGCAAAGCAGGGCAGGTTTGTTTCTGCAGCTTTACGTAGATCCTTTTTATGGTCATTACTCAGTGATTTACCACTTGTCTCATTGGGTGCTATTTGCTTTGAGCATTCCTTTTCCCCGGAGATTCTTTTTCTGAGTCAGGTTTTTTCTTCTCCCAGGGGATCTGATCACATCTCTTCACACCAGAGTGAGTGGTCCTTTCTCATAGAATCATAGATCTTTACTCTGCTGTGTAAATCCCTTTCTCTTGTAATCTTTATTGTCATTTAGTCTTTCTTGGATCTTTCAGCAGTGGGAAACTCTCCCTCCAGAGACAGCATATTTAATGGATAGATTCTCTGGCTGTTGGAAGAGGGGAGCCACGGTTTCCTTTTTTTGGAATCTCTCCTGTCCATGTTCTTGCTGCTAACACACATGTGAATTAGAGGTACTTTAAACATAAGATAAATGGCCGGGTGCAGTGGGAGGCTAAGGCAGGAGAATCGCTTGATCCCAGGAGGCAGAGGTTGCAGTGAGCCAAGATTGCACCACTCCACTCTAGCCTGGGCAACAGAATGAGACTT